AAGTCACCTCCAGCCAAACTTGTTTATTAGCCGGTTTCGTCGGCTCCCTTAACGCTCTGCCTCGGCAGGCCTACATGGCGACAGCCAACGAGGGCACAATCCCAGCATCAGCCTCGTTTTCATCAACCAGTTTAACGGGCCGAACAGCAGCCGGAAAACTAACTTGAGCAGTAGTATTTCAGTAGACGATTAGGCTGATTTGATGGTGTTGTTGTTATAGCAGCACAGTCAATATTCGCCCGCCAGGCTTATTTCAATCTGGCCGGTTGAGTTCATCAACCGCAAGCGCCCTGCCCAAAAAAAGCCTGACAGGCAACTCCCAACAGACACTCAAATGCACACGCGACAACGCATAGGGAGAGGGCCGGTGAATGGGAATCCGGCCAACAACACGCACGACGAGGGACAGGAAGATGCCCAAAAGCTTTCCCGGCTCGCTTCTTGGGTTTGTCGCTTGGCCTCTTGTGCACACAGTCAATCTCGCCTTTCTGACTCGTTCGTTGGCTCTCCTTTGTTCAAGTGAAAGTGAGCCAAGAAGAAAAGAGAACAACTGAGGGCAGCCCCTTCACCGTGACCGGAGGACTATCTTGATTTCCAGCTTCCCCTTGTTTGAGTGTCAAACTCACCAGAAACTTTGTGTGTATGCATGTTGCCTAGATAGGCGATAGATGGGCTTTCAAACCCGAATGGAAAGTAGGCTAGGGGAAGTGTAAGCCAAGTCGTATGTTTTAAAGAATTTCCAGTGCATGGATATTTGTGTTTCACATATTCATACTTTGTGTACTCAAGTTATGCCACTTCATGTTCACATATACACTTTCCGCCTCCGGGAGGATTGTGTCCATTCTTCGGGCTCAACTCAGTTTGAGGCATGCTACTGGAATTCGCAATAGTTTGCTGAGCTAGCCAGCATAGACCCATGAAATTTTAATGAAGTTACTGTGTTTGGCCACAGTCAATATAAATAAATTATTTGAGCACCAAGCGATCTGACTAATTTATAATGTTATAAGATGTATTCACCCAATTTCGTTTAAGGTGATGAAGGACTGGTAGAAGTAGACTTTTCCCCACAAATGATATGAGTTGAGCTGACGTTTCCATTGAATTTCACTTAGCCCTGGATAAGAACAACTTTTGGGAAAGCAAAGCTATGTAAAAATTCAATGGAAACGTCAGCTCAACTCATATCATTTGTGGGAAAAGTCTATTTCTACCAGTCCTTCATCACCTTAAACGAAATTGGGTGAATACATCTTATAACTGATTTACTGGTAGTCACGAC